TATTCACTCCTCCTGTTCTTAAACTAGCGAATAACGATTGTTGCGTATTTGCTCTTTACTACTAAGGACAACACTACTTTACATTAAGGACGACATTGAAAACTGAAAGATTTATAGACATTCAAAGGAATATATGCTCTAGTTGAATTGTAGATTGATATGTTCTTCCGCTTAACTAATAAATAGGTGGAGAGCCTACAAAGTGTTATCATCTGACAACTGTGATGACAACCAGTAGTGTCCATCAAGGATGCCCACTCTCTCCATTTCTGTTTAGTTTCATCATAGATGTACGCACTAATGAACTTAACCCTAACTGAATTCAGTGACTCACAGGTTGACTTGTTACCAGGGAATAATAGTCTCTTTGATTTAGAATATGCAGAAGATATAGTCCTCCCTCCTAGGTGAGGACACTGGCTGACAAAATATGCAGAGTTTCGTGAACACCTTGAGGAGGAGGAGCAATCTTCGAATGTTTAGCATGCAGTTCACTACCCATGTCAAATGTAAGATGATGCTAGCTACAGGACTGCACTGAACTACATAGACCCCTAGCTTAAAGATATGCAGGAGTGAAGTGGTTGGTGGGGCGTGTTGACCACGACTACTGCACTTATTTGGGGAGTTGCATCAGCCGTTGCCAATGGGTTGATGTCTGACGAGAACTCAGCACGGATACAGAAGGCTCGTCTGAAATTTATTAGACAACTTGCGCCATCTCTGTCTTGGTAGACGTGACATCCGACTGACTTTCGATCAGAGGACGTGTATAGTGCTCAGCAGTTCGCCCCGTCCTCCTTGTTGGCTGAGACTCATGGCTATTGAAATTGGGAGATACGAAAAGAGTACCCGTCTTTGATCATAGGTATTTGCGTTCTACATCCCATATTAGGTGGTGCAATAGGGTAAACAATATTGAGGTTAGGCATCGAATGTTAGGTAAGGAGGGAAAATCAATCAACAACATAATGAAGCTACAAAGATCGAGAAATTTAGGACATGTATTACGCATTTCTAGCCATCGCCTTCCTCCACGGCCAATATTAGCCATTGACATAAGATGGATCAGGATGGAAAAGAGTGAGCCAGTGGTGGTCAAACCAAAACATGGCTTCGTCAGTCTTTGAAATCCTTCACAGTTAGTTTAAGCCATGTATGGAGATGTAGGCTTCCTAGTTGGGGTCCTCGGGACGGTAAAAACCAATGACTGTATACGATTGGTGATATGGCTAGCTCAAAATCGTTCTCAATGGTTGGCGCAGATGCATCCGCTCATTGTGAGTATATTGTTCTTCGATATTTCTACACCTTTCGCCTCATATCTCTGTTTACTGTATCTATTTTACGTTTCTTTTTACTTCCTTCTCTTGCTTTGTTTGCTACACTGAAGGAGGGTTGCAACTGGAAATGGCGTACATCTTTGGAGAGTTCTATGCTGAAACCAGTCAGTCAGTTCTGATGAATGATCAGTAAAAATCTTGGTGAAATTGAGACCCAATCATCAATTATGGCATATAGTAACTTGATTGTCATATTTCCAAGCAGTCAGTCATCCAGAATTTAAGAGGAAAGAGAAGTGTCTCATTCAATGCACATATGAAATAAACCATATGGAATTTTAAATTATGAAGTGTTAGTTTGCAGGGATTCAACTGGTTACAGGCTTGATCACAAGCTTATATCATTTAGAGAACCAATGGAAAACTAGGCCGTCCTGGACAGCTGTTCCACGTTTTAGTTGGTGACTCTGCAGTGGCGCGCACCCACCGAGGTTTAAATTTAGGGCGTTTTAGGTTAAAAACGAGCTTGTAGACCATCCAAATACTGGGACTCAATCAAAATGGTTCATGAATTTCAAATACTGCCAATAATAATAATAATCTGTTTATTCCAAAACAGTGCATGTGATACAAAATGGGATTCTCAGCATTTTTACTACAGTATTGCATACAGTTCACGCTGAAGATCGGGATTTTCAACTCCAATGTGAAGTCAGTACTACTATACGGATCAGAGACTTGGCGTGTCACAAAGAGCACCTCAAACAAGCTACAGACCTTCATTAACAGATGTCTTCGCTCAATACTCAAGATCAGATGGCCGGAAAGGATCAGCAACAAAGATCTCTGGGAGCGAACCAACTCAGCAGGAACCGATTATGAAACAAATAGGCAGGAAGAAATGGAGATGGATTGGCCACACTCTGAGGAAACCATCAAGTGACATCACTAGACAAGCCATTGCTCGAGTGGAACCCGAAAGGGAAGCGGCGAGTTGGTCGTCCAAGGGTGACCTGGAGAAGATCATGTGAAGAGGAGATGAAAGCATGTGGGCAGACCTGGAGCCAGGTGAAAACTCTAGCAGAGAACCGAACGCAATGGAGACGCATGGCTGAAGCCCTATGTTCCTCTAGGAACTAAAGGAAATAATAATAGTTGCATACAGTTAGTACATTATCAATAAATAGAATTCTACATAGATTAAGGAGATCTCAGTTCATTATGACAACAACACATTGACATGTCGGTAGTAAAGGTAAAGCTGAACAGTGTTTGAAGGTGTTAGAAAAGAAGAAGCTGTCATATTTACTGGCGTAAGTGAGAGAAAGAAACAAAGCAGCACATAACGGAAAAAAAAGGAAAAGAGAGAGAGAAAAGGAAAAGAAAGAAAGAAAATGTTGTATCTATAAATGATATGAGTTGGAAAGACGAGGTCCAGTTGTTCTACTGACTATTTAGTGAATTATAGGTGTCACGCCTAATGCTTTCTTTAACGCACAGAACACGAGCTAAGTAGGGTATGGTTGAGTTTTTGTACTTGCTGGTGCGAGCATATAGTTTCCTATATATGCTTCTGTTTTTGTCCGATGAGATGCAAGGGGAGAGTTGTGAATGAAGAGGGTGGTGTGAGTTAGATAAAATGGATTTGGCCCATTTTTCACATGAGTCCATGTGACTGTCGACCAAAATATTAACAAGCTGGTTAAATGGCACGTTGCTTACCCTGCTGACAACCTTTAACATCCTGCGTAATATGTTATAGTCCTTCTTCAGTAGCCCGGGAAAAACTAAGGGGGAACAATAGAGAATAATAGGCAGGATGCGAGAGTCAACGAATTGTAGGAGTAAGGGTTGGATTATACCAGAATATTTTAACTTCTTGATGTAGAATGTAAGACGGAATGTTTTCTTAGAAATCGCTAAGATATGAGACGACCAGGAGAGATCAGCCGATAGAATGACGCCTTGGTATTTAATTTCCGACTTGATTTCTATTTCAGTGCCGTCTATGTTGCATACCTCGTGAGAGCCATTCAAGCTACTACAAACCAACACTCTGATGTTCAGTAGCGACTTTCTCTAAACGGGTTACCTGGGAAGTCGTACTTAGTGAGGTCCACCGTATTTGGAGGGAGGACAATTACTTACCGATGACATTGGCTGACAGTTGCGCCAAACATAGCCATTAGATACAGTCCTTAGTAGTTGAATGGTCTACGAGCTCGCCTTGTAACCTGAAGATCCTTGGATCGAACTTTTAGTAGGCTGGTCTTACTGAAGTGTCACAAACTTAAGCCAAATAGATGTCTGCAATTCCCTATCTTTCCAGGGAATGGTTCTCCAACTGACGTTTTTCTTGTGATAGTAGAGTTAAAGTGAATGCATAAAAGAATTACAAAAAGTTATTAAAACGGTTTAATTTCCAAAGGTTAACGCTACAGGACGCATTCTTAGTTGGCTGCATGAACTAATAAAATCACCTGATTCGAATCACCCTGGAAATACATGTCAAACTTCATCTGTTGCAAAGCACATCATACAGATGGGTCATAAAGTTGGTTCCGACAGGGCATTCCGAACATTGTCCTTTACGCTGAGTACAGAAGATTTGTAAACTGATTTCAGAGTGATGAAGGTCTGTATTGCCTTTCCGAATCCGGGTGGCTTTGACATCCTCATTCGTTTCTCCAGCCTCTATGTGATAAGATGCTGCCTAGATAAGTGAAGGAAGTAACCTCTTTCAAATTTCTCCCGTTGACAGTGATTGGTGCTTGTTGTTGTTGTTGCTATTGGTTGGTTATCTTCAACACTTCCGTCTTCGCATATGTTTTTCTAGCTAAATCCTATCTTCGCTGCCAACCTTTCCTGACAACTTGTTGGTTTCTGCCTGTAAATCTTCAACTTTGTGTGACATGAGACATAAATCGTTCGCCAAGTCCAGATCTTTTAGCGTCTTCTTATCAGTTCAACGTATTCCTGACTTCCTGTTCCCCACAGTCTGTTGTATAATCCAGTCCACCATAATTGGGAATACCATCGTATGTGTCTTACTATTGTATTCACATAAAAGGTTTCGCTGAGTTTTCCGTTGTGGATCACCTGACACATGGCAGGAATTGTCCTATATCTGTTGAACGAGGTTGCTGAAAATTTTTTGGCGTTGCACTGCGTAATGGTGAAGTAATTTCCGAATTACGTTGCCACTGTGTGATCCGTAGAACAAATCAATAAATATAGAACCCAAGATCTTACGACTTGTATCACATCCACATCATGGAATATTTATGTAGAAAACTGTTACACATAACCCAAGATATATATCAAAATAAGTATAAATGAAGTTGACACGGCGAATCATATTAGGTGATGACTGGCAGTGGAATCCAGAATTCGCATTTTGTCCTATTTGGGACTCATCATCTGAAACTGCCTGCATTTAAAAGTGAGTGATTGTGCTCGAACCCAGTATCCATTGTTTCAAACTTCGACGTGTTATGGCCTAGACCACTTCGTTCGCGAGAGCCAATGAGCATCTAGATTTTACTGTTAGTCACTATCATCCATCAAATTACTTCAAGTTGATCCTCAGACATTGTTGAAGCATCCGTACTAGAAGCCCAGATACCAATAGAGACCGAACATTTCATTCCAATCAATCAAAGCGAAAATCAGAGTTGAAATTTGACAAAAAACTTAAGTTTTTCAGTATTAACTAACTTGTTTCCATTGTGATGGCTTTATTCTATACGAATCATACACATAAACCACCGGTAAAGTGCTGTTTGGATTGGTATCAGATTCAACAAGAACACGATAATACGCTGGATGAGATGTGTATCCTTTTGTATGCATATACTTTAAATCTCTGACAATTGTATTGATATCTCGTTTCGGATAAGGCTCCAAATGTAAACAAATCTGTACAAATAAAGAAAAAGAATAAACCAAAGTGGCATGATAGAAAATCTTTGAATTCAAAGCTATGAAATGCAGCAAGTAGTAGCCTACTTAATATGTATTAAAGTAGTAAGCAGAGAAATACAAAATTAATTAAAAAGACAGTTGCAGCGAAGAAAATTTTCTTTTCGACGAAATCATCATCTAGGCTGTACATTCGTGTATTTATATCAAATGGATGGGAAAGTTCCAGAACAATTTCTGGTTAGGGGTTGAATTAATAAAAATTACAATTAGGAATTAGAATGCCATAATAAACAGGGGGATGGGTAAAACTAAAACAAAGTAGCATAATAACTAAGAAAATTGACATTGTGCAATTGGCGTTAGAAATGTAAAAATAACAAAATATACAGGATGTTTGGATAAGAAACTAGTGTGATGACTAATTGTTTATGCAATCAGGGATTAAATATGTAGAGATAATAAAATGACAAAATAAACAGGCAGTGTGGATATGAAAATATGGTAGTGTAAACAGGGATTAAGAAAACTTAAAATAACATGAATAAACAGGAAGTTTAGATAAGAAAGGCAATGGGATGGTCATTATTAAAAAAAATTTACCTGTTTACGATGGCCATGGCAGGGACAGGGGTTGAATGTTTTTCTTTTGGATACAAAGCGTGGGTTTGAGTTTTGGGATAGCTAACGCCTCAGCTATGCCCAAATGTCTTAATTTCACTCCTTTTGATAGGTTTGGTTGAATCTTGTATATTACTTTGAAGGACTTTTCGAAAGGCGCTGAATGTCCTGAGTTGACCAGATGTTCTGTCACTGAACTGTTTACACGTTTTTGCTCTCCTTTTACCAGCCAGGCTGGGTAGTGTTCACGAGCGCGTTTTCCAAGTTGGCGCATGGTACGGCCGATGTACTCAGCTCCACAAGAGCAAGTGAACTGGTATATGCATGTTGAGGTGGCCCAATTCGACAGCTTGTCTTTCGCGTTCTGGTTGAATAGTTTCTTGCAGGAGAACGTCAGTCGTAGGCTTGCGGCGAAGTGTGTTTTCCTCAGCGATTTAGAGAGGCGTTTGCGAAGGATTTCTGCTTCGATATCACCTTTGAATTCTAGATTGAGCAGAAGTATTTTCTTTGGGACGGATTGGACTTGTTCTGAAGTCTTCTTCGGTTTGAGATTCTTGTCTATGAACCTGGGCGGGAAACCGTTTTCCATCAGGGTTTTCCGGAGATTACGCAGTTCTTCTTCGATCACTTCCTCGCTGCATATCTTCCGAATCCTCGAGGAAAGAGCGTGTATCAGGTTCCTCTTTCTGCTTAGCGGCACGAAGCTTTGAAAGTTGATGAATTGTCCAGTCCATGTAGGCTTTTTGTATATGGACCTTTTCAAAGAGTCGTTGTCATTTCTTGTCAGATGGACGTCCAGGAAGTGGAACATTCCGTCGGATTCGGTTTCAAGTGTAAAGTCGATGTTTGGGTGGGCATTGTTGAAGGTTTGAAGTAATTTTTCGAGGTCCAGCTTCTCATCACAAATGATGAAAGTATCATCAATGTATCTCTTGTAGAGATGAAGGTCGTCGATAGTTGATGATTAGGGGTTGTTTTCGAGGCTGGCCATAAAACAAAATTAATTCATGAAACACATTTATTTTAAGTATAACTTGGAACAGATAGAAACATTAGGCTATGAAGTCCAATCCATGTGCAATCCAGTAGCTAGATGTGAACATAGGAAAAGATAGTTGGGACTAGAGAACCTAAATTATTATGTCAGAGTGTATTTTATTTGCAAACGATACACTGACAGCTGTGTATTTTCAAAATACTGTCTGACTGGTTTCGACATAGAACTTTGAACCGATGTGCAGCAGTTTGAGTCGCCACACTTCACACAGCACACACAACCATAGAAGAAATGTAAAATAGAGAAAGTAAACAGAGATATATAGCAAAAGGAATAGTAATATCGAAGAACAATATGATTTTATTGGGTATTATAAGTCACAAGGAGTGGATGCATCTGCCTGCGCCATTGAGAACGATTTTGAGCCATATCACCAACTGTCTCCAGCCTCCATTGGTGCTTACCGTCCCGATGACCCTAACTAGTCAGGAAGTTTATGCCTGTCTACGTGGCTGGCTGGCTTAAACTAACTGTTGTGGATTTCAAAGACGGATGAAGCCGTATTTTGGTTTGACCACCACCAAATCTTCTCCAACCTGATCCTATGTTAGCTAACATTGCCCATTGTCGTGGAAGGCGATGGCTAGGCATGCATAACACATATAATAGCCACTTCAATCGATGTAATTTCACAGCCTCGTCTTTTGATTTCCCCTCTTTACCTGGCACTCGACCGATGCCTCACCTCAATATCGCTCACCCTATTATACCATTTCACACGTGAGATAGAACGCAGGAACCTATGATCAAAGACAGTTAGCCTTCTCATGTCTTCCACTATCGATAGCCTGGTCTCACAGCCATAGAGGGGGACGGAGTGGACTACTGAGCAGTACATTACATTGATGGTTTCTGTTACCGTCCTGATGGTGTGCCTGTTATTGTCCTCAGAAGTTGTGCGGATATTCTATGTTATCGTTTTACTAACAGTTTTAACGTTTCTTTTCCCAGTAATGCTGTCCCAATACCCATATCATGTATTGGTATAAATGTTAAATTCACACCTACTGCTATGACTTCTAGATTTTTGAAATTAGTAGACAAATTACTCTTAATCAACCTTGGACCGTCCTTGAAAAGTTTCAGTAACCCTAAACAGTTCGCATATAAACAAAGTAGATGTACTTTATATGTGGCTGCTCCCCTGCTTAGACAGGGGAGCTTAATATGTTTGGTGTATTTCCTAGACTACACACCCACTTTTGACTCTGTTTCCAGATGTCTTTTGTTATGTAAGCTTTCCATAAAACAGGCTGAGTCCTCGACTGTTAACTGGTTGCATTCTTACTTCTCAAAAACAATTCAGTTTACTGTATATAAAGGTAAATCTTCCTCTTCCTTGCTTACTGAAGTTAATGTCCTTCAAGGTGGTGTTCTTACTCCTCCTTTCTTTTTCAATGACTTGCCTTGTTTGAAAGAAATCAACTTTGTTAAATATCCTGATGACTGGATTGTCTCGTTGCCAATTACTTCCTGAGCAGATTGTTCCAAATTGAGAAGCTTTCTGTCGGACACTAGCCAGTGGTCTAAGCTTAATGGTCTTATAAAAGAGTCTTACATTAAATTTCTCCAAATGTCAGACAGTTAATTTCACCTTCAGGAATAAATTTGATCTTAATGAACTCATTAGTTTACACGATGCTTGTATTTTAGAGGGCACTGAAACAGAAACTAAGTCTAGCATAAAATACTGTGGTATAGTTCTATCCTCTGACCTTTCTTGATCTCCTCATATCCTGTCTATTGCTGAGAAAATGCTCCGTCCAACCTACTCTACATTAAGAAGTTAAGACAATTTGGATTCACTCAACCTTTACTTGTACAATTTGTTAACCCTTGCATTTTACCTATTATTTTTTATTGCTCCCCCTTAGTCTTTTCAAGGCTATTCAAAAAGAACTATTTCATATTTTGAAAGGGTACTAACGGTTTTTAGTAAGAGAAGTTGTGTGTCACTTAGTCAGATCATCACTATCAAAGTCGACGGACACATGAACTAACTCATGTGAGAAATGGTCTAAATCCACATTTTTCACGAGTTGATCACGGACTGATATCAGTTAGAGAACCATTGAAAACCAAGAAGTACTGGACAGCTGCTGTTTCATCCTAGTTTGGGAATCATCGGCAGTACGCACCCACTGGGATTCGAACCCAGGACCTTCCGGTTACAAGGCAAGCCCATATACCATTCAGCCACTGGGACTCGATTCAATGGCTTATGAATTCTAACTTCTACCAATTCGTGATTTAGCTCGCTAGTGACTTGCTACAGGATGGAGTCTCCTGGAGTTCTAGTGAGAAGTCGTTACCAGTGAGGTCCAATTAGATGTCACGTGTGTGGATGGATGTCCCACCAACGACAATAGTTGAGGTCGCGCTAAATCACGAATTGGTAGAAGTTAGAATTCATAAGCCATTGAATCGAGTCCCAGTGGCTGAATGGTATATGGGCTTGCCTTGTAACCGGAAGGTCCTGGGTTCGAATCCCAGTGGGTGCGTACTGCCGATGATTCCCAAACTAGGATGAAACAGCAGCTGTCCAGTACTTCTTGGTTTTCAATGGTTCTCTAACTGATATCAGTCCGTGATCAACTCGTGAAACATAACAAACCCTTACAAACCAAACTATAGAAAATAAATCCACCTTGTCTGACCGTCAACACCACCTCTATTCACAACTCTCCCTCACCTTACATCTCAACTTGTAGGACTAGAACTTACTATAAAGGATTATTTGCTTGCACAAACAAGTATCAAACCTCAACGATACCCTATTTGGCCCATCCATGTTCTGTGGGTGAAAAGTGAAACTCACACACTACTGTGTAATTAGCGTAAAAAATGGCTCAGTTAATCTCCCATATTTGTAATTTTATTGTGAATACTCACTACCCCCATTATATTATCATTTTGTGTTATTAATACTAATCTTATTGTTATTATTATCATTCTACATTTGCACATCATTTTGACTCTATTGTTTCTGAACGTTGTTGGATGTTATCAATGGATTTTGGTTAAGTGTACCCTGGTATGCATTTTTTCTGCTGCCGATGTTGCCGAGTAAATTAGATGCAATAATAATAATAAGAATAATATTGATCTGCTTTACTCCAAAACAAACAGTACTTATAATACAGCATGGAGTTTTCAGCATGTGTCACAATAATTGAATCTAATTTCCTCAAAATACCATAAAAAAAATTAACCCCATTGGAACCTTTCCACATTTACAGTCAGAAGAATGTCGAAAATGTGCAAATTATAGAATGGGAATACTAAGTATAGTAGTAACAATGGGTTTGTTTCAGACAAT